AAAAGAAAAGAAAAGAAAAGAAAAGAAAAGAAAAGAAAAGAAAAGAAAAGAAAAGAAAAGAAAAGAAAAGAAAAGAAAAGAAAAGAAAAGAAAAGAAAAGAAAAAGAAAAGAAAAATCATGTCCATGTTTCTTTAGGAAGTTAAAGGCTCTCAGAACACCTAAGGTGGGCAGGCTCAGCGTTCATCACCACCTAGTAAAATCTTCCCAGACTATTCCTGCTTATATTCTCATGCCTTTAAGGCAAACTAATTTTGAATTTAAGATGTGAATTCAGTGCAGATTGATAAAATTACCCTAAACCTATGTGTAGACATACTTTACTGAAAGTTGTAATTCCGTTTGCTTTATTTTTGAAGTTAAATAGGTTACACTGAACAAAGATGATTTTGATTCTGAATGATGATCCACCCACAGTCCAGTGCAGTTTAACTAACACAGCTCAAAAGGTAAGTACCTTAATTCCTTTGATGATCACTATGAAGACTAGATTTTATTTAGCATCACCCTTCAGAATAAGGAAGGCCTGTATCCTTGCTGAAGAAAACAGTTAGGATACTGTATGCATGCAGCACATACTTTGGGAATATTATGTGTTCATATTTTAAGGCACTCATAAATCTTACAGTTAAGCACAGAGAATTTGTTTCAGAAGAAAACTCATATGAGGTGCAAGCTGCTTCTGAATTTTTTTCTGTCACTTCAGGAAAAGGGACTCTTGCAAAGACAAGAAACATCTCATTATTAGATTGACAAAATGGAAGGACTGAAGAACAGATCTGGTAGGCACTGGATTCTCAGATGTCAGTTTTCTGTCAGTGATTATTCTTCAAGGATCGTGTGGATGCATTCTAATCTATGTGAAGTTCATGGCAGCTTTATTTCTACAATCTGCACTCTACTTATCGAAGGTGACAGTAGTTACTTTTGCCTTTTCATGTCCACAGTAACTCACCTACTGTGAAAGTCAATGCCTGTGCTAGCAAGTTGGTTTAAATTAGGATAACGTTTTCCTCCCACATTAGTTCCATTTTAGTATTTTTATTATGCCTAGTGACATATAACTACAATATCAGAACTCCAACCCAGTCAGTACTGGGACTGCACAGCCCTAGAATTTACACAAATTATTAAGAAATGTGGCTCTTACATCAAAGACTAGGATATTTAAGAGAATGAGGGATTCCCCTGCTGACTGTGAAAGTGGTTAGCAATTTATTAGCTAAAAACCATCAAGCAAGATCTCTTTCATTATATGTCAGGTCTACCTGAT